ACGTATATCGTTAAAAAACTTGTTTTAATCTTTACTACTTAACCTTAGGATAGTTCTCAGGTATGCTGGGATACAGTTTTTCTTAAATACCCAATATTTATGTTTTTACTACGACAATTTTACGTTCGCTTTGCAATAACTCTAATTTAGGTACTATGCGAGTGAATTAATTATGCTTTAATGACTTTCTTTGACTTACAGCTTCATTAAGAATATGTAATACAAAGAGCATATCCGATATATAAATCCCCAAAAACAATAACATAGTCTGGTTTACATTGATTTTCTATAAAACCCAAGACAGCTGTTATCACTTTCTTGAACTTTAAATTAACGGTAAAATTTATTAGGACCAATCGCCAAACCAGTTAGGCTCTCATGACTTTGACCACAAATAGTTCTGAAGATTGTCACCCGGTTGCGCATACGCAACAGTACCGCAGCATGTGGGCGGAACAATGATACATTAATATTGATGACTATTAAATATTCATCATATCAAACGCTACTAAGATTCCGAATGTATGTAAACTATCGATGACACATATCTTCGTAATGTCCTCATGTCACGCAAGCTATGAATGAATGTGTTCAATCAATAGTAGATTTTATGTTTACATTAGTACTTGAATTGGAATATTATTTAAAAATATGTACATTGAGATAAAACTTTGATAAAGGAAACGTTGATTTTACGTAATTTTAATTATTTTTCTATATCAAATGTTTTCTCTATGTTTATTGATCAGGTTTACGTTGCAACGATGATAAAGTTGGGGATTTCACACGTTTCGAGGATTGTGAACTTTCTTCGACGTGCAAGTTTCATCACGATGTTTTAATTTACCGAAAAGCTTCGGTGACAGCGGATACGAACCCACGGCCTCTGTTTGAGAGGCGGTAGGACAAATCATTAAGCTACCACGGCATGTATACATGTGTACATGTATATACCACCATATACATATGTATAACTATATTTAAGGCTGGCATTAAGCGTGCTAGTTTTTTTTAGTATGCCAGACTGTAGCAGAATATTATCGGCGCACAAATACTCCGCAATTATTGCGTTGCCGCATTTTATGTTGACAATAGTATTTTTTAGTTATTTTTTATAAATGTGTTGTGATAAATAATCGATTTTATTATGTAAACATACATTGTAATCAGTTTTTGAAGTGACTCGAAACTATTTCTGCGTGTTTATAAAACTGATTTTCATTTGTTCTCACGATGTGAGATGCTAACATCATTTCCGTCGCGATGATATCGGAGAAACTATATAATTACCGTTGAAGCTGAAATGCACTTTCACTTAAAGAACGTTTTGGTGGAAGCTCGGTATTATTAGTTTTAAGATTAAATTTCACCAATATGAACATCTTTTTCTTAATTTTTTGGCTTTTCGTGCCAATGACAATAGTAAGTACACAAAGCCTTTCTAATGTTTTTGTTTTTTATGCAAGTGTTCTTAGTAGTAGTGTAATATAGTTCTTCGGTAGTTTTCGGTGATTACAATTACAGAATCACTTCTTGACATGTTTCACAAAGGTTGTTTAGTCGCGTTATAAGTAATGTTTTTTGTTGTGTCGGTAAATTATGTCGATCATTTTTTTATGAATGAAATTCGACTATCAACGTCGAGAATATTTTAACGTTTTTTAGTTGAGTCTCCGTTACAGTCCGTGACAATCATCCATCTGTACCCAATTGTTATTGCTACTTATGTATTTATACCTACATACGTATACTCCAGTATAAATTAAGTACGCTAATATTTAAGTATAATAGGTTCTATTTTTGACTATGAATGAATATAACATCTACTTGTAGTAGACCCCTTGAAAATCATTAACGAATTCCTGTGTATCACGTTTGTAATGAGCTAGAAAGAGAGGGAATATAACCTGATTAAGTAGAATCCACCTGTGAGAACTGTTCACAAAGATACTAGGTAATTCTGGCACACTAACTCTTAATCGCCGCAATAAAAATAAGGTTTTTAGAATAATTTGTACACAGATAATATACGTACTTTCACTGAGTTTTGAATTTTTTTTTATAATATCAAGTGACGGGACGAATAACTTGTGTTCCTGGTCGTAAGCTACATGCCTGACCATAACAGTTGCAGTACCACTCAGAGTTTTTAATCGCAAAGATTTGAGGGGCACTGCCACTGCGCCTGTCATCCTGAGACATAAATTGACAAGTCCCATGTGCCTGTAATTATACCAGCATCCTTACCCTTCAAAACCGGAATGCAGTAATGCTCACATTATTGCTTTGCGGCAGAAATATTTAAGGTGGCTGTACTTCACTGGACAAATTCTTTCACAAGGAACTCTACTGCTAAAATGGAATACATCAAATTCAAAATATTCGTGATTCGTGTCTCGTGAAAGTGATTACCTGCTTAACCTATTAGTAGTAGGTGGAGTTTCGTATTGTAGAAATTAAATTCATCAAATAAAAAGAAAAAAATAACAAAGTCCTATTCAAACAAGTAAACAATGCTGTCCTATATCGTTTATGAAACACAAAAATGCTATTCACTTCACACAACAATAAAATACAGATACAAACAAAAGGCGAAGTAAAACAAACTAACCTGTAGTCAGCAGTCAGGTGACATCACTAACATGAAAACAATAATAGGCAGCAATGCAGTTATTGTTATCAAATTATACCTATATAATACAATACATTAACAATATAATTACATGCAACTACTAGTCACGAAAAAAAACCAGAGACAGGAGTAAAAAAAGTTAGTACCAAATTAAATTACTGTACACTTGCATGTTGTTTATTCCTTCCAACTAAAAAATACAGTATTTCTCATAGACAATGTTCGATGTAAGGTAAATGGCAGCAAAAAGCCTCTTCGAATGGAAGGCCCGAGGTGGATTCTTTGAAACAATAGCTCCGACCTCCGGGCCATTGTTCCTTTCCTGGTTCATCGTATCGGAAACTATTCAGCCTCATAGCTTCTGTACTTGATGCTTGAGGTTACAGCGAACATTACATCTATTTATGAATAGTATCCCCTTACATTTTCTTACACCTCTTTAGGGAAATCTGCCTTAGAATTATTTTAATAATTTAATGTGTAATTTGCTTAAATATAAAATGAAGGTTGCAGAAGACGCAGGAGTTTTTAATGCTTGAAGTGCGGCCTTTTACTAAAACATGTCTAAGAACATAATATTATAGCATCGTCGCGCAAAAAAATCTACAGTCTGCAAACATGTCATGGATATACTACACATTCAATTAAGTTCGACAAATTCCAGATCATTGTAACAGAAGTTCGTTTTTGCCTAGGCTGCTGCGAAAGGCAATTGAAATTAAATAACATCCTTATTTCAACAGGGAAAATGGTTTATCCGTATCACCAGTTTGGTGCCAGTATTTATTTCCTTTGATGAAAAATCCCAAGCAGAATAAAACTGCAGTACTATTTTGAACATGTTATAATTTGTTTATAATTTGCTTTTGATTAACAAAGATTTAGTAAAAATTGGTATTGTTAAAATAAAATATTTTGCAAAACGTACATACCTACGTTTTTCAAAGTTTATTTTTGTTTTATATTCCGCTTCACAGCGTAGATTGGAATGTTCTCTGATAAATTAAAAATAAGGTATTTAAGTAATAACTTTTGTAAATATAATGCAAGCATTAATATGGGATATGACTGGTTGATGACCAACTTAGTCAGACGTAACCACGGGACCTGTAATTTGTTACCGTTGTGACCGTTGATTTGTTTGAAATAACAAATACACGGGATTGGGATCAGAGGAAATAGAATATTTATATATAAAATATTTCCAATAAATGAAGAAATTTTGTGTTTCGAAGTAATTAGTAATTTGTGGCTCGAAGAACCAATGTTGGATTCTTGTAAAAGTGAACTATAGCAGGTCTGGACGTGAGGTAAACACAATTTTACTGAGAAAAACTTTAATATTGGCTTTGTAATCAGAAATTTAGTTTACACACTTCCGCGAAAAAACAAGAGAACACAGAAAAATATCATAAGATATAAAACTGAATTACTTTTGTTTGAGCCATAAACATTGGATATAAACAACAATAAAATTGTTGACTCTTTAGTAAAATACCTAACGGTTTTATATCCTAGTATATCGTAACAGCAAATCAAAATAATATTTTAAATTTACCTGCTACGTCATATGTTTTTGAAACATTATCTAGTGTTAATGGTTTTTGTAATTATTGTAATAGGTACCTAATTATACTAAAAAGCAGATTTATTAGTAAGCCAAACATATTTTGTAGAATATTCTTCGTGTAAGAAAACTGTGTAATGTCGACTACCTACGATAGAAATTTAATGTGTAGTAATTGTTTTATCAGATGTTTCAATTTTCTAATAATTGATTTCATCATATCAACATCCCGCCGAACGTAGATCTTTGATAACTATAATATCTCTAACGGACATATTGAAAACTTGTTTTGACCAATACCAGATACGATTGGTGACCGAATGACTCAACAATTTGGCATTTATCTCATTACCGCTTGGGCAATATTCTTATTAATACTTTGAAATATTAAAGTGTTTTAATCGTCATAAATCGTTATAAGTTATGTATAAGTTTACCGAGAATGCATGCTTTCATATATTCCAAAAGCCACCCAGGTAATAAAGGCATAGATATAGATAAGCATGTATTTTGTTAAACATAAGCCATATAAAGTTTAAAAACATACAAAATTACCTACCTGTTATTTATGCAGGCACTCAATTCCTATCAACAACATAAGGTAGAGCACTATAAAAAGTACATTAACTCTATGATAATTCGCATGACGTGCTTCTAAAAGTCTTCCAAAAGATATGTTGTGGCTTTACTCATCGTGACGTTCCTGTTGCTATTTATTGCCTCCTTCTTTTTCTAAATACAAATAAATAACAGTAAAATATGTAATATATATTAATTTTATTATCTTTTTATTATTTCCAGTGGAGATTTATCTGTCACCGGTGGAAACGCACTGCAGCAATGTCGATTACTTCATACCAGACGAAAACAACGAGACTAAATTATTCTCAGACGATGCGATGAATAGGTACTTCTTTACTCTACCTTTTTATTATTAATATTTTAGATATAGTGGACTTTAGATGCCTCCGTGATCTAACGGTTACCATGCTCGTGTGCCACCCAGAGGTCCCGGTTCGATTCCTGAGTCGGAAGAAATATTTGTACGGACATTATTTTACCCGTGAGTTAGGTGTAATTTGTGATTGTCTACATGTGTGTCCATAGCATCCGCGATACAGTGTTTCCCTAGTGCGGGACTGAGTATATGTGTTATTATTTAGTAGCAGTAGAGCTCCTTGTGAAAGAGTTCGTCCAGGGAAGTACTTCCACCTTACGTATTGCGGCCACCAAGCAGTAATGTGAGCATTAGTGTGGTGAAATTACAGGCACATGGGATTTTTTCAACTTATGTATCAGGGCTCAGGGTGACGGGCGCAGTGGCAATGTCTTTAAATTCCTAAAGCTCTGTGTGGCACTGCAACTGATATGCACAGGCGTAGGAGTGTCGCTTATCACTAGGCGCGGGACTTGTTCGTCCTTCAGATCATAAAAAAATATTTATCATGAATGTTGGCGACCGGAGAACCGGGAGTCCTGCTTCTAGTTCTTCGGTATTGTCGTCTACAAACACGCGAATGCAACAAGTTTTTAATATTTTTTATTAGATCTATGTACATTTACATATTATAAAAATATGCCCCATTTCTCAACCTGCAAAATCAACGCAAGTCACATTGACAATGTTCCACTGTTATCGTAAATCAAATGTTCAATTCAGACCTTGTACCAAATGCGAAGTGGAACGACGTGGAGTTGTCTTAACTTTGATTTATGAAGAGCTTCTAAATACAGATTGAGATTATTTCTGACATACCTAACTACCTACGCAGGGACTTCATACGTGGAAACTAGCGGTTTAAATGTTGGACCACTGGCGTCGCGTTCAATGATGCATACAAAAAAATTGTTTCTATCGATTTCAACACCTGGTGATGCCAGAGTAACTCTGGAAAATATCCAATAATCTTTAAAACTTAAAAAAAAAATAGCATATACATAGGTTGAAAAAGTCGTTTAAAGCAGGCTCAAGTAATTTTGATATCTATGTACATAATATTTGACAATTTATCTTCCAGGCTGCACATGGCGCGTTCCACAGTGGCTTTATTCATCGTGGCGTTCCTGTCGCTGTTTATTGCCTTTTGGACCGGTGTAGTTGGCTGCTGGAAACGCAGTCCAGGCAACATCACCGCCACGGCGATACTTATGCTTGTCACATGTAAGTATTGTTTCTTTTATCAGTGACCTACATTATAAGCTATTATGGGGTATAACTAGATATTTATTTTAACATTGATCATCACGTATATAAACTCGTATTTAAGTTAGGTTTAAATAAGGTTTTCTCATAGACAATTTTGGACATATTTAGAGTAACGCTAAAAATGTAGATGAGAGTATATTACCAGATTTCCAAAATTTACTTCAAATTGCAATTGTAAAACAAATATTTCTGTTGTAGATCTGTTTTGTGAGAATACTTTTACGTTAAAATATTTAAGTTGCTTTTATGTTTCGTGAGCCCAATTTTACAGCCTTACACCCTAATGACATTACTTTCTTTTTTTGTATGGGTGAATAAAGTTTACTCAAAATTTATACATGTCTTTCAATTATAATATAACGGTAAAGAGAAGTGATTTAAGATTACTAAAAGAGTACTTAATGCACCCAGATGAATTAATTCAGGTGTTTTAAAAATAACTCACCCTAAAATAAGGTTAAATTATGATTACAATGTTTTTAACGAACCACGGGCCACATATACCAAACGTTTAATTTGAAATAAGAATGACTTGAACTGTCTTTTGATTTCGATTAAACATTCTGGTATGTGTGGCCAGTAGTTATATGAACATTGTTATCATAATTCACCATTTTACGATGCGATGCTCTAAATATGTCCATGAGTATATTTTTACTATGACTTATTTATTCCCTGCAACAGTTTTTACGTTGTTTACCAATATCCATATAGGTCCTTTCAACTGCCTATATAATTAATAGGAGCTTATGTGGATTCCTTATAAATCTTGTTATTTTGTTGATTATAATGCTTACTTGTTTGTCAATGTTTAAGGTCTGCTAGCCGCTGGTGCGATGGCTTTATGGCATGGTGTAGAATTCTACGAGAAAGAGAAGGTTGTAGGCGAGGAATACTATCAGCAGTGGCCTAAGGTATGGTCAAATACTTACACAAAGTAATTATTTTTCTATGACGATTCATATGATTCCCCCTTTTGTACACAAAAATTCTTTAAAATGATGGAATTTAAGCGTAATACCTCGTAATCTTTAAACTTTTTGGGGGCATGCAAGTTAAAAGACAATGAGTTAATACAATATACATACAATCTACATATTTTGCAATGATTTTTATCTCAGGAACTATCAACGCAATATGACAAATTCATGAAACATTAGCGTTTTACCTAAAAGCGCGCCATATGGTACCTAATGAAAATCAATGTTATCCCATGACTATAGGTGCTAAAAGACAACTCGTCGATATCTTACGACTGGTCCTACATCATTGCGTGGTTAGCAGTCGGCGTCTCCTTCGGGAGCTCAATACTTTTCGTCTCCGCCGCCATTTGCCTCACCAAGGAGAAGAGGCGGGAACAACAGACTAACGTGCAGTATATTATGCCAGGTTAGACCGCCATTTTGCGGCGCGTCCGCCATTTTGTAGTGGCAAAATAACGCTTGGCGGTAGAGTTACCCTTTTATACATTTTACTTCAAATTCCAAGTATAGAAATAACTTAGATGTAAAAAAATATTATAACTACTTTAAACTAACCAAAATGCTTTTTCTTTCTTTTCATGTTTCTATGAAACTTGGCTACTGCGTTAACGGACGACGAATGTGCGACTACATTGATTAACGCATTGTAAATCGCGCTATTTCTTAATATCTGGTTTACGCCAACTGCAATACTAACATGCTTCTTGAATTGTTACTATTATATTGTAAATAATGAATATAATCCACTAAATGAATTTAAATACACCGAACTAAATCCATAATTATTGAAAATTTCCCTTCAAACGTCAATTGATATGAATCAAATAAAAAAAAACACAACTCCCGCAATGGTTGGGTATAAACCAGATATTGCGAGATAATGCCCGTGTGTGGTACGACTGGTCGTACATCGTGGCGTGGTGCGGCGTGGGGCTGTCGCTGCTGTCGGCCATCTTGTTCTCCTCGGCCGCCATTTGCTTGCGCGGCGAGCGGGAGCGCGAAGAGGCGCTTAACATGCAGTACCTAATGCCGGGTAACGCTTCTAATAAAAGATTTTAATCATAATAGAAGTATGTAACATTGTCTCGGACCACACGACAGTTCGAAGGTCCTAAACGATACAAAAAAAAAACCGCGTGCGTAAAATAATTCGTTCGCTTTGAGCAATTTGCAGCATCCGGTGTTATTTTGTATTATTAAATACGAAATACTAGATAAAAGCGAAATCAATTGTGTCTGACCTTACTAAGATGTAGGATAAATAGATTTTTTTTTATGTGAATATGTAATTTATGGATGGGTGCTTACAGCTTGGAAATGCATGATTGGAACGTGGAACATCTACGTTATATATACATAATATGATATTAAATCAATGATTTTATGAAGATGTTGGTTAATTTTTATAATGATTTATTATAATAATCAGCAAATGTACATTATTGCAAACTTTTTCATTATACAAAAATATATATGTCATTTGTGTGTTTCCAGTGTATCCGCAAAAGCAGCAGTACGCGTATGCCGGGTATCCGCCGCCGCAGGCGTATCCCGGCCCTTACTATCACGGCTCGCAATACGGGCCATACAACTACTGAGCATGCGACCAGATGAGGGACCTCGTGGCGGCGCACTTCGCCAACGCCCCCGCCCCGCAGGCACCCGCGCGCAACCCCTCCCCCGCCCACCAACCCTCCATCTCCTCCCTTGAAACGTACAACTCGCACAGGAAGATCAAGCGCCCCAAACTGGGTGATAGGAAAGTCTATCGACCGGTCCGACGTCATACGCTCTCGCGCATAGACGAAACACCCAATCAGACGCTCCGGACTAGGTCGAAGAGCCTTCAGCATTCCACCGACTTTTCGTCGACTCGACCCATACTCAGGTCGCGGTCCAACATATCGGCAGACACGAGCCGAAGCGTGCCGGTCTGTAATCAAAGTCACGAAATCGAGAACCAAAACGAGTGCAGCAGCCCTCAGTACGCGGAGCCGAAAGGCTACGACTCGGAGTCCTCATACGAGAGGTACGAGAGGCACGAGGGCCGGCCCGTCTCGATGTCGGATTTGCCGATCATGGTTCCTATAGACCCGGTCACGGGCGCGTACATTCCCTATCCGGAGTATACGTACTATCAAGATGATAGCTGTAGATTAAACCATCTGAGGTGGAAGTACAATAAAAAGAGGAAATCTTCCAAAAACAATTTGTATTTAGCATTCATGTATTAGCGCGGGTGTTTGTGAACACGGATAGGACACAAAGAAACAATATGGTTACGAGTTTCGACCGATGCCGTTACAGTGTATGACGCCACAACCCATGACTTTCGTTTTTGCGTGAACTTTGCTATATCTCAAATCATCATACACTGCTTTTGTTAAATGGGTGGCCCGAATCTGGTGATCAAGTGATAAAACTTAACTATTGGCACTTTTTATATGGCATAGCTAGCGTCGTTCTGCGAACTTGAATTTGTCACCAAACAGAAGCGAATGATTGCTAGTTGGTCTCTGGGCACGGCTTTACGAAACTCTAACACCACTGGTCTCTTGGAAACTTCCGCGTTTGCGATGTTTCGTTTTCGAACAAACTTACGAATTATAGTTAATAATTTAACAAGGTGTACTTAAATGAATAAGTATTTGTAATTAGGAGTAAGTAGCGTCCACGAGCCATAAGTTTATTGCAATCAAACAAAATATTTTAGTATTTAAATAAGACCTGGGACTATTGCGTGGATTCAATGGAAGGTGATTATTAAAACGAAATTGAAGATAGTGCCTTCTCTCGTAAAATAAATGCTCATTACTACTGAAAATCAGAATAAACATATCCGTTACTTATAACTTATTTAGCATACTGTGTAGTTGAATATTACGTTTTTAATACTTTTAGAATTAAAATTGGAAGGTCAATAACATAAGGTAAATTCTGTATGATCGGAAGAAATATGATATATTTTGTAACATATATTTTAATTTCTTTCATGTGTACCACTTGGTAATGTAGGTGAATATGACTGAGGATAAACGTCCGTCGTTTTGGTAAGGCCTACTCAAGTACACATTATTATGATTTGTATTTTATTTAGTCAGAATAATGTCAAATAATAAGGACGATAATGTAGGTCCACGGAGCTTTTGTAAATTAATTAATTTAGGTTCTAAATTCGGGTAACAATAATAGAGATTTTTTTAGAATTATTTTCCAATTGTATTTAAAATGTCCAAAATAAAAATTGTAAAATTATAACGTGTTTTCATTTAAAACCAAAATATCACAAGGATTTAAAAAAATAAAAATATTCTGTATGTTAAAAAATGTATATTTAATTCATCTTTGTACAAAAATATTTAAATATGGCGATATTGAACGAACACTGGATGGAATGACAATGTATCACAATTGTGAGCAAACCTGTACAAAGCACTTCATAATAAAACAATCACATTCTTTAGAAACAATATAGGGAAAAACAACACAAGGTGCAAAAGACGTTAAGTCTACACTATTGTCAAAAGGTTATTAATATATAGAACAATTTAAGACAATGCGTCATAAAAGAGAGGGACCAAAATTGTGCCTCTTTTCGGTAATAGTAATTGAACATGATAATTACTCAGGTGCTACAAAGATAAGTTTTGAAGATAAAATTGCTGTATTTTTAACTTGGTTGCCTAAAATAAGAAAATTGTAAAGTTGCCCGCGTCAAATAGATTGGATTAGCTTTATGCATTTTTCAAAGAGCCTATTTCTCTAGGCAACCAATCTAAATGCTAGGTAATTATTACACTTAAACAATTCGCTTAATTCAGTGTTCATATACATGTATATAAATTCAACACGTCAAACTTGGTGAATGCATTGCATCTTTCGACTCAATCTTCACTTGTCTTTGTCGTGTATGTATTAATTTATTTACGTTAAAACTGGTTGAATAGAAATAAATCAATGAGTTTTTAGAACATACAATGTAAACTATATTAAGAACTTATTTTAATAAACAATATTGTTTAAATTAGCTTGACCAGCAAGCTTATCATGACAAACAACGCTCATGAAAGAATGGCATAAATGGAGTTACGTCAAAAACGTTTATTAAACTTTTTCGACTAATTATTTTATCTAATGGAGCAACAAACGTTTTTGACGTAACTCCACTTATGCCATTCTTCCATGAGAGGTACGACATGTCTTCACCAAGCTGTCAATTCGCAAAATTTTTTTTGCAAAATTTCATAAAAAATAATGCAAAGCAAGCTCTCGACAGGCGTGAGCTTAACCACCGCTTAATTAGTGCTTATTATACACAACAACGTAACTCTACAGTGGAACAAAGGACGCAGTGGCTCTTACAGCAGGTGAACAGGCTAGAAAAGGGTCGGACATGGACACGGTAGAGTCAGAACCCACAATGTCTCTACCCTACCAATGGTCAAGAGCAACTATATACAAAGATACAATAACTTCACATAAACTGGACAATATTTAGGGCGCGTTTATTGCACACGAACTTCATTGCGCTCACGCCGCGCAGAGACCGAACTGTCACGGCAAAATACGCTCTATTTATTTAGGTTTTACGTTTTACCTTAAATGAGAGGCTGGCATGTCTCCGGTCTACACGGCGCGGCGGCCGCGCGACACGGCGGTTATTTTATTCCGAGGAATTTTAATTGTTGTTGCCTAGTAAATAAAATTTTGATTCGCCATTAAAGTACGTGAAAGGTGGTAACTGGCGGTCACCGCGCGGCGGCCGCACGAAAACTTTCGCGTCTGGGCGCTTACTGGGCTATTACGGTTTGTAGGTAAGCTAGCGAAGCACTCTCAACGCACAAAGTCGGTCAATCCCGAAAACTCGTTAAGCTCAAAATCAAGAGCGTACTCTGACACTCTAACGGTTTGTTTGACTAATAAGGTCCCTGTGCAGGCTTGCTTATATAGGTAGGTAATAGTGCCCTTCCCGTATAACCAAAAGGTTGGGTTAGGCACTATACACACAAGCCCAGAGGAAGGACGTCGAGATTTTTTTTATAATACCAACTGTCGGGATTTTCGGAGGAGCTCGGGTGGCACAAGGACACTAGCCGTTTACACCATATCATATATAGTATTCGTAGGTAGACAAGTACTTTTTTTTTATAATAACAGGTGACGGGACGAACAAGTCGTGCGCCTGATGGTAAGCTACACGCCTGTTCATAACAGTTGCAGTGCCACTCAGTGCTTTAAATAGCAAAAATCTGAGGGCACTGCCAGTGCGCCCGTCACCATGTGCCTGTAATTTCACCAGTACCCTTTCCCTTTAAAACCGGAACACAGTAATGCTGACATTACTGCTTGGCGGCAGAAATAGGTAAGGTGGCAGTGCTACCCAGGACGAACTCTTTAACAAGGAGTTCTACTTAAGTATAACGTGTTTTGCGTGTCTGACCCAGCGGTTTATGTCTATTCACTCCGTTTTAAAGCACTCAATACACGCTTAAGATCGAAAGATGAAGTGCACATTATATACGATCAATAAAAATGAGAGCATTTTACCTTTACACCTCATTTACTTAAAACTAATTATATAGCGGTATCAATCATAGCTCCAGGGTGTGACAAAGCTTGTTTCCTCTCGTGTACAGCATTTACTAATTTCCTATACGGTCCTAGGGGTAGACCTAGAGACTTCATGTCGCTTTCAGTGAGCAACATTAGGGCGTCGAGGTCTATTTGCTCATCTTTGAACTTTTGAATGTATTGAGACAAACCAAAGGCCGTAAGGAACCGTTCTAGCGATGCATAGCCTGATTCTTCCGCCTCACCTTCTTCATCTGATGTTACTGTTGAACTCTCTGAAACAATGATATAATTATTAATCGTGCATTCACTGTAAAACTGTTTGTAATTTAAATACGAGGACTATTTCATCAAATCAACTGTTCTTAGAATAACAGTCGAGCATTGAGTAGAGTTCTGGAATACGACCCCAAAAACCCCCAGCTATAAAGCAACTTGAAATTTTTATACGAAATTACGTTAATAATAATTCAGATATATAATCACAAATATGTAGATTACTATGTAACCATGGTTCGGAATATAACTACTGTACGTAATATGGCATAGTATAATCTTCTTAGCGTGTTCGACTCTACTACCTACTCAGTGACTGACACGGCATTATCAGTGGCGTTGTGCAGGTACTCGCGTGTGCAGGAGTAGGGGCACACAGGCCAAGACATCGACTTGAGGCCCATTTCCGAAAGGATTACAGATTTGTCGTCCGAAAACCTTTCTACATTAATAGAAACAACGTTCAACGTGGCCGTGGTTCAGAGAGATAGCGAAGATTTTTGTACACCATGAGGTCTGAGCCTTGACAAAGGCTTTTTTAATGACCCCGAAAAAGGCCGGTGGGGAAGTTTTGAGTCGGTTTGCCGACCGCAGACGGTTGTCGGTGTTATGTCGGTGCGACACACGGGTAGGCTCCTTCCATGCACCCCATAGTATAATATAGCCCAATTAGGGCAGCTCCCGCCTGTTTGACGCATCAACGCTTAGAGTGTAGGGTTTTCACATTATTATTTTAGTTGTAGTACCTACAGGTGAAACATTTAATCGGCTGTTCACAATTATATTACAACCATATCAAGTAGTTTAATGAACACAAACTAATAGCTAAACTATAACAGGTAGGTACATTAAAAAATGTAAGAAAGTTTATAAATAGAAAGTTTTCTCGAGGGCTGTACCAGGGTACAGCCAGGGTGTGTCAGGGCACATCGTGCCCAGAGGGCTGACAACATTTCCCTTTTGAATAGCTAAACTTATTCTATATTACCTATGGGTTATAAACAATTTGGAAAAATAAGGTATTCATCATATGCTCGTATTCCAGAACTCTTCACAGTGCTCAAGTCAGGATTTGAGCAGACTTGAGTATGATTTCAAGCACTGGAAATACGACAATAATGGCAAGGCCTTGAGTATTGAGTAGAGTTCTGGAATACGACCCATAGTGTTTATAGTTTTAATTTATGCACTTTGTGTTGGAACATCGGTGTAATGAAATAATAATCCCTCACCGGAATGTGGAGTATTCCAGTCAGCGGGCTGGTACGCATGTCGGGCAAGGGACCCCGCAGATCCGATGGACAGGTTCTCGCCCACCGCGCTTCGGTCGCCCGTGCCAGTTGCTCCAGTAGGTGGCAACGCGCCTAGAGTAGCTGTTATCGACCGTCTGTACGAGATACATAATTTCCACATTGTTTTAAGTTGATAAATTTGTTTTATTTCTTCCTGTTCGTTGCAGCACCAATCTACTTCAACTTTTGTATCTATGGCTCCGTCGTTTTGCGCGACGGTTTCGCCAACGTCAGGGTTGAAAGACATGTAGAGCGGTGGTGAGATAGATTGCCGGTTATGTTAACACTTGGAGGGAAAAAAATAAATAACACGAAGTTTGACAATACTTTTTCTCTTATTTTTAAATTTCTAAAACTCAATTGTAACTTTAAAAAGTTTTATGTAAAAGGAGGAATTAAATCTCTGTTCTCTTTAGATGTAAAGAAAACGTATAACCTTTCAGTTGCCACCCTGAAATTGGACACCCCGAAAATTACCAATGAAGAAAAAAATGGCGGGAAAATAACACGCGTATCCATCCGAATTTAAAATCATGATTTAAGCTATTTTTTGTTGCTAAAGGCACAAAGATATGGAAAAGTATTTTTTCACCTCACTAGCTCGTAAAGGCTTTCTTTCTCATTAGAAATCTGTGCGCAAAAGCGCTTTTTGCACGCTAGCGTGGAAAAGGTTTTTGCAATTCGAACCTGACGATGGATTGTGGTGCACCTATCTTTTTCCTTTGATGAAAAAAAAATTAATGACACGTTCAACTACGTGATTTGTCATACATTACTTATGTAATATAAATCCGTTGGTATATTTTATTCTCATTATGGTTGATATTAAATTGACCACGATAACTAATTTTGTTTATTAAATTATTTTAATTCGTCGAAGAACTAAAATAATTTCAATAATCACACAAAATTATAAGTGCAAGGAAGAATAAAAATTGATGAGAAGCAAATTCAGAATGCATCCGAAGAAAAACTTTTTCTTTTGATTAAAAAAAATAGTGACGCGTTACGAAACGCGATTCGTCTTAAGTCTATTAAGTATATGGATAATATTAATCCGTTAGTACAATTTATTCTTATTATTATGGACATTAAATTGATAACGATAACACTAATTTTGATTTATGGGATTATTTTAATTTGTCGAAGAACTAAAATAATCTCGTTAATCACATAAAATTATAATACGAAGAAGAAGAAAACGTATGTCGTGTAAATTCAAACCCACAAAAAACTATACTATTTTTTTCAAATTTTCATTTTCATCACTTCAATTTCAATACTTTGGATTGAATTGTACTCTGGAATCTGACTCTAGCGGTGATGAAAAACTGATTTATAGTTCAAGTGTTTTTCTTTTATCTACCATTTTCCTCGCTATTGTGAGGTGAAAATTTGTGTTTCGCTCGGCAGCAAAGTTGTTTTGCGTCTTGTGCCTTGACACCTTTGCTACGGTCAGGTTTCAATACAAGTACTCGGGCCAAACAACAACTTTGCAGCCTTGCATAACAAATAACTATTTTTGCCGAAAATGGAAATAAAATTCAATAAAATAGAAATTTTGCCGCCTCAAAACCCAATAAGGGCACGTGGCAATCTGGAGTATTTATTTTCCCGATATGAGTTCGATGACACTCAAACGGATAGGTAATAATAGGCTCTACCCTTACTCTACCTGTCCAAGGTATAAGATTGAAAGGGTTGTAACCCTAACTAGCCGTGAACAGGTTCACGGCAATGAAATGGGAAACTTCCGGTCCACAAAATTTATTAAAGAAGTAAAGTTTAAAGAAAGGCTGTAACAATATAAAGGTAAATGTAAAAAAACAGGTATAACAGTATAAAACACTCCCTACACTTTATTATTAAGGCACTTACCCTTAAATGGGCCGAGAAACTGAATTACAGAAATAGATACATGAAGGCTGTAGATTTATAAATTGTTACACATGATTAGCTTATTAACAGCTCCGACTGTTGTGGCGGTCGAGCTGGGAGTGACCGTGGTACGAAAACAAAAGGAGAAAGTGAAGGAAGATGGAAAAATTCAAATTTAAAATTTAAATACATGTAAAATAAAAAAAAAATTATAAGATACAAGCGGAGAGAGGCGATACAAAGAGGTGAGATGACGGTGTAAGGAGGTCACACCGTCACAAGATCATTGGTTCAAGGCTTTTTCAGTGAGTTATTTAGTTGGGAGTCACAATGGTGATCTCGTCACAAAAATTTGTATGATTCTATAAATAAGACAAGTATGGTAACTCTAAACAAACGTAGGAGCGAGACTTGTATGCGTGCACGCCCGCCACGCGCCGTTTACGGACGCAGACATCGCGTCACGTAATAATGAAAGATGTGTGAGACGTCCAGCGTTATGCATCGCGCGATTATGCGAATGCGTGCGAAACCATGCCTGTCTTATTATACTGTGTTTGTATTGTACTTGAAGTATATGTTTCATGGTACGGCCATCACCTTCCTCTGCCCCTTATGACTTAATCCATTAAGTTTTTTAAACCTATTTGAAAAAAAAAAACCTTAACATTTCTTTCCTTAACATATCAATTGTAGCTGGTTTGGCTCACCTAAAGGCAACACTGCCGAAGCCAGGCCTATCGAATATACTCGCGGGTTCTTGGAGGAGCACCTCTTGGCCGATTCCGCTGTCCTCACCCGCCGGCACTGAGAAGTCCGGTTGACTTGCGGACCTACACAATCAAAATAAAAATACACGTTAAATACTATTTATTGCATGAGAATTTCTAAAGAGGTAAATAAGCTGTTGAAAATAGTACATTATTGCAGTGCAGTGGCCGGAAAGTAAAGGATTGCAGGACGTGTATAAGTTGTGCTCGTCCTTGTATACGGATCAAGCGATTCACGTTCCCTCCAAGGTATATAATGCTTTTCTCAAACAACGCGAGGAAATAAAGACTAAAGAATGAAGGAAACAATGTATACTAGAAAAAGCAAAAAATAAACAATTATATTCCATAATACGAAATAACGGACTGTCCGTTATTGTATTTTCGCTCTTCTCATTAGAACTGCCGCAACCTGACAGTCACCGGTTGCGGCAAACGCAATTGTATGAAAATAGAATAGTAATGCATTCTCAATAAAATGATGAATCTATATACTAACTACTATAATTTGTAGAACTAATACAGAGAGATCAGATTTCTATGTCCTTCATAAAATCTCTATTTCGTGATAACACTTTTGTATGAGGAAGCTCTGTAATTAAAAAAATATAAAATATTTTTCTTATATTGCTTGGTGTCATGTTATATATTGCCGTTGCTCTGTAGTAAGGGCTATTTTTGATATTAATATTAATTTCATTCGAAAGTTTATAATGTTTACTAACTTGAAAGTGCGAAATTTTGCTCCTATGAAACATAAAAATTCGAAGCAATGGACAATCGAAAGTATATACCTAGTGAGCGTAGATTTTTTAGCTTCCTCCGTCTCAGTGAAAACGTTGGCAACGTTTCCCCGCTGCTGTGGACCAGCACTGAAGGTGCCTACATACATCACTTCCGAGTCTCGCCGCAACCCACTCAGTGACGTCACAGAACGGCGCCCTGTTGTTTCTACTTCGCCCACCTGAAATTAAATAATGCTTCGAGAGTCTGACAAATATTTAGTTATACTTTCCACAATGTACCTTTCATGAAGATGGCCGTCATTTTTAACTGTAGCACTGCATTGAAAATTGTATTGTTTATAGCTTGACTACACACGCTCGCATTGCAGAAACGCGCTTCAATGCGACAGCCATGAGTGACGCTGTTCGCAACTCTACAAAAGTCGTATGGTTGCGGGTTGTTGTAATAAGTATAAGTTATGCCCAAATTTCGATGGTTTTGACACGATTATGTCGCATAACCGCGTGAAAACCATCGAAAACATTACTTAGTCATTTTGCAAGTATTTTAGTAAATATTGAGTAATTTACATCTTGATGACGTAAAGTGAAAATGGAAATAAATAATCTACAAAGTCACATGTTATTTACACACTGGGAAATCCCAAAATTCTAGAAATCGGATATTTTGAAATTCCGGTGCAAAATTTCATCCTAATAATCAGGGTCAATATAACACGTCAAATAGTACTAGAGTGGTAACAATTGTTTGAAGACATAACACCAACCTTGAAGTCATCAGTAGGCCCCTTTCTGACTTTCTAGAAATGGGATATTTTAAAATTCCGGTGCAAATTTTTATCATAATAATCAGGGTCAATATAACACGTCAAATAGTACTAGCGTGGTAACAATTGTTTGAAGACATAACACCAACCTTGAAGTCATCAGTTGGCCCGTTTCTGCCAACGGTGCCATTGCGCAGCTTGCTGGCCAAAGCCTTCTTATAGACCGCGCCACGGCCGCGAGGACCGGAGTTTACAGTACCAACCAGCGCGCTGTACGTTGGACGAGGTTGTTCGTCTAATAGATTTCCTGTATAAATTACCATAATAATCGTCAATGTTTATGCACCATACATCTATCAAAATGCAGCCACGTAATTTTGTGCAATCTGGGATCACGATTTAGTCGTATGATAAATTAATATTGATCTCTGATTAGATGAAACAATTGGGAGCACCGAAATTCCGCGGCTAAATTTAGGTAGAAGTGGCGGTTGGTTTGATACAGCGGAAACATTGTTGGCAAGGTTCGAAGTGATAATTAACATTGATAATATCATTGATAATTATCAATGATATTAATTATAATATATATTATCTTGATAAATATATTTTGATAATTATTTCTATATTTATAAAAATAAATGGAACAACAAAATTCTCCCGCTAGCAATGTCGTGTCACGTGTTTGTATCCGAGACATATCCAAACGTGTCAAAAGTCAAGCTCAAAAAAGCCACAAACCGAATAGTTTTTCCAAAGATTTCCGCCGTGTTGATTTAGTTTTTTCACTGTTTGTAATTTGTAATCAAAAATTAAAGAGACTAAACTATGAATCAGCGAGGATAATTATCGAGTATAAATCAGACAGTTACCAAAAAAGGTCAAAATTTGGATAATTTCGAACCCTAATAGAATTTGGAGAGTCTGAGCCCTAGAAATTGTTTCTGCTACTCTGCCGTCTCCGCTATCTAAAACGCAGCTATGTGACAAAATATTTTTTTGAGATGTCATAATAAAATAATAACCCAGTTTTTAATATTGAAAGTGTTTAATGATATTTCAGCTAGGCATCGATAAGTTAAGTCGAACACGTTAACTAATTTTAACTGTTTTTAAAAGAGAATATTGTGTTCTATCTTTTGCTATATAAAATTGACCATTGACCATTTGTCACTTAGCCGCGTACTAGTGGCTAAATTGTATACATTTCTGTCACTGGTTCTGTCGGTACACTATTAAGAACTACAGCAATCTTACCATGACTAGTAGACCGTGTCATCTTATGTTTCAACGCCATTAACACGGTGCTGGGCCGATGTGGCATGGTGCTAATATCCTCTCCGTACCCGTCATACTCCTTTGACATTTTCTTTAGTTCTTTTTCCGCAATTGCATCAGCTTCTTTTTGCCGTTTCTGATACTGTTTCTGGATTTTTTCGTAGTCCTTCTTTGCTTTTTCTTTATGTGATTTCGATTTTTTCCTGTAATTTCAGTGCTTGCTAGAAATTGTAAAACTATACAAAATTAATTTAGGTATTGTGGGGCAATTGAGAATCTGTTTCGATTTATTTGTTTTTTAAACTAACTTTGTTTATTCGCTTCTAAACTGCTGTTAAGGGCATAAGACATCACGACAATTTGCTCAGGTGTTATTACTGCGCAGAACCCTCCAAGAAGTGTATTTTTGGACAGCGGCAGCATGGCCGAGCGTCCGCTAGTATTGAGGATGAGTGTAGCAAAGGTATTGTATATTATTTGGGTTGTTAGTGATGTTTAATACTTGGAAGTATAAACATCGATCCCCTCAGGATCCTATGTATGAACGACGCTATGTTTGGTATTACGTGTTCTACCAACTAGCAGTAAGTATGTATTATTCTAATTAACGTTATTTAAGTAATTTGAAATGACGCTGGTTCATTGCGCAATCGCCGTTTTAGCAATTAAGTACATGGAGTTGATACGGTAACTGTAAACTTACTTGTCATTATTCTCCAACTTGCCAATAGCCGCGTCCAAATACCTCAATATATCGTCCCGTCCATTCATAGCAGCTAGGTCTTGTGCCGTGTGTCCTTCCACGTCCATTGCGTACAGGTTGGCACCAAAGTTTACTAGAAACGTCACACATTCCTTATGACCTCTTGCTGCAGCAAGGTGGAGTGCTGTATTGCCGAAGTAATCAGCTTTGTCTGGTTCACCTCTGAAAGGAGAAGACTTCAGAGTTATTATTGTTGATTCCAGTTGATAAATCCAAAACTGAAGTCGTCTGTCCTTACGGTGTTCACTTTTAAATTGGTACCTTCCCTAACCATTGCGTGTAAAACGTCGTAATATAAATATGTAGTTACAATTTTTATTTTGTGTTTTAAGTGTAATAAACTAATTTAAAGCATTAACTATACATACACTTCAATTTCTACATCATTGCACATTTGATAATAATCTTTACTGCTTTTACGACAAACACTCATGCGCGTTAATGCGGGTTGAGTAACGTAACATCGTGTTAAATAGTGCGGAGGGAACGGAGGAATGTTACACTTAATTTAACATCATATCAACGGGATCAAAAATACCTGCGTGTAGTGTAATCTCATTAAGAATCTGTTGACTACAATTCAAAATACCTCAAATTTTGAGCCGAATTTGACCGGCCTGGTAATGAACCAAGATAGGATCGTAGAGGAATTCCCTATCTGTTTATATCAGATATACAGGCGTGATTCAATATACTCAAGATGCAATGAAAAAATCATATATGATAATGAATAAAATAATCAATATATATCTAAGTTTTACTGAATTTTAAAGCACTAACAATATGAACTAATAATATGTTGATTTTAAGATTTTGGTGTTTGTTGCAATTATAAGGATCATATATGATAATGAAGAAAATAATCAAAACAGATTGAAGTTAACAATATGAAATAGTAATATGTTAATCTTAATATTTTCGACGTTATTCACCAAATGGTTATCACGAGTTACAGGAGCGTAACTACCGAACGTGTAAGCTAATATGAAAATAATATGAAGTTTGTAACTAGTGATAAACATTTAATAAATTGTAGCAACCGTTTATCTGTAATGTAAGACGTGATGTTTTTAAATACGTTGAGCGTGGTGACCATTAATATATGCCACATTATTGTATTACCTATTCACAGCGTAATTACTATTCTAATTTGTCGTGAAAATGACGACTCCGCAAAGCGCGAAAAATCTGTATAGGTTACAAATAAGTAAGATGCTGGTGAAATTACAGGCAGATGGGACTTATCGAATTATGTCTCCGGGTGACGGGCGCAGAGTAGCGGTGTCCCACAGATCATTGCGATATAAAGCTCTGAGTGGCACTGATACTGCTATGTATAGGCGTGTCGCTTACCAAAAGGTGCATGACTTGTTGTTCCGCCATTAAGTATCATAAAAAAAGATAATAATATACAGGCCTCACAACCTTAAAACTCTAAAGTAACTTGTTCATAATCGTTCTATAAAATTGCATATAATGGAAACACAGAAACAAGTGAGAAACAAAATTAAATAGGCAATTTTATATAGGTTTCATACAAAGAAGGAGCATCCAAGGAAACGTCTCATTTGTGAAGGTTACGTAAAAACTATGACGCGCATCCGTCATACTAATAGTATGTGTAAATACATCAGTCACAATGCAGTATCGCCGATAAACGACATTTTAAGACAATGCATGAAAGCGACAGTGAATGACGACACCACATTGTCTTTTTTACTCATCGTATATAAATTGTTTAGCTTGGCTTATTTATACTTGGCTCCATGAGTGGATTAACCTACAATGTCAAAGAAATTAGATACAAGGGGCTTAATCTAAAAATAGGAGCGTGTAAATCTATGGTCAGCGGTAAGCCGAAATAATAATAACGCAACACACTCATAGCCCCACACGACACCCAGTGTCGCGGGTACCATGGACACACACATAGAGAACCACAAATTACACCCAAACTCACGAGGGAAATAAATGTAGGCCATACAGACATTTCTCCCGGTCTGCAACCCGGAGTGCAACCCAGGACCTCTGCGTTTCAGGCCAGCATGGTAACTGTTCGGCCACGAAGGCAGCCATAAATATGTTACGTACGCAAATATTCAGCTAGAGTTTTGTTTTTCCAGAAGCTCTAAGATTTACTAGAATTGGAAATTAAATTATTTAGGAAATGAAATTATTCTACCGGATTTAAATCGCGTATAATAGTTTTTTCACACGAACCAACGTTTTGGGCCCTTTACTGGATATATCACGAGTGGTGTGTAACGAAGAGTGTGTGATGGAATTGTACGATTTAATTCCGTCTACCCCTTTCTATCATCGGGGGACTAGACGTAGGCTGGGGTACTACCATGGTGTTATCCATAACATATCCAAAGATTCGCACGACGCGTTACGCTTCCACATTTATGCGGCGAACGACTAGGGAGTGGAATTCCTTGCCTGCAGACTTGTTCCTTGAACGCTATAACTTGGACCTTTTCAAGGCGAGAGTGGATAGGTAGGTATTATTGAGGTATGCATGCTCCATCGTCGACCTCATCGTTACTTTCCATCAGGGGGGATGGAAGTCAAATGCGCATATAATCAAAAAACCACAAAAAGAACCTGAAACGTTCGTTTGTTTAAAAAATAAAAAAACCTGATTTATGTCCGAAAAAATAGTTTCATGTCCAATGTATAACAATCGCGAAAACCTAAGAACTCGATAAATTATCAAAATATAAACCATAATCAATTTCTCTGTATCTTCCTACACTTTCTGTTTTCGACCAATTTCATAGTTTTCTTGCAAAAATGAATTCACAGATATAATGTAGAGTTTAATCTAAACCGGGTGTACCTAATAACTTAATATTATTACAAGGTGTAACAAAAAGGTCATAAAATACTGAAATTCGTAATCGTACTAATAATAACTACATCCTTTTGCGATAAAACATACTCGTTGGAGTGTTACAATTATATGAGCAAGTGTTACGAGAAATTACTATAATCTCGAAAATAAAATCGATAATGATAATGATTGTTCGATTATTGTCGTATGAGTTTCAATAATGTATTTGTCTCTTTCAGTTAGTATTAAGTTGTTTTACATTTTAAAATCGTTCGTTTAAATGAAATGAATATAGTACTTATTGGAACTTAAAAAATGGCCCTGGAGACCTACCTGTAACACACGTTTTTATAAATCTATCTCGAGCACAAACCAGCATGCCCGATTTTGGTATAATCTATAAGTCCCTATACTCTTAAGCCTGTTTGTGACGAGAAAATATGAAACAACATTTCATTTCAAAGTCACATATCATATACTGATATTATTGACCAGACAGGCTAGGATAATGCGTTTTAATATTATGGGTGCGATACGTACATAGATATCGCTATTTCTAGTTTTTAGTTTTAGTTTCTTTTGTCGTGAACTTTTATATAGTCGCATTATAATACAAAAGTTGGTGTAAACGATGCAAACGTACACATAAAAAAGAGCATCTTCAACCGAACATCGAATTTACGTCACTCGGCATGGAAAGATCGAGATGCATTTGGAATTTTCATACAAAATTAAGTAATAATAGGGGTTAAAGTATGAAATTGCCGATTTGTACTGAAAATCTAAATTGTTTATTTTTTAAATTTTTAACAAATTTATTTAATCAAAATAGTTGCCATTATTATCTATACATTTCTGCCATCTAATGGGAAGGTTATTAATGCCTTTGCGATAGAACTCCGACGATCTAGACTGCACAAACTGTGTGAAAGCATTTTGTACTGCCTCCTGGGAAGAAAACTTCTTGTCACGTAGATAATTGTCCAAATCACGAAAAAAATGGTAGTCCGTTGGAGCAAGGTCTGGTGAATACGGAGGATGACGAATGGTTTCTAACTGCAGTTCCTGAAGGGTCAAAATGGTTTCTCGTGCTGTGTGAGGTCTCGCGTTGTCGTGGAGCAATAATGGTGAAGATCGATTCATGAGTCGGGGCTGTTTTACTGCTAGTTTTGTCAACATGGTTCGGAGTTCGGCACAATAGACATCTGCCGTTATTGATTGACCAGATCGGAGAAAACTATAGTGAATAACACCATGCTGAGACCACCAAACAGTTACCATTACCTTTTTATTGGTAAGTTTTGCTTTAGGACACTGTTGTGGCATTTGACCTGGGGTCAGCCATTGCATTTTTCTTTTCCGGTTATCATAAAGAATCCACTTTTCATCACATGTTACAATTCGATCCAATATTCCTTCATTTCTGTACCGGTTCAACAAGGCAACACAAGTTTCAACACGCGTTTCTTTCTGCAGATCAGTCAAATCATGAGGCACCCATTTTTCGTATTTTTTTATTTTATTGATTTGGCGCAAGTGAGTATATGATTTGGCGCAATATTGTGGGTAAGGTAACGTTAAACCATGCCGCTAATTCCTGGGTAGTTTGACTAGGATCGGCTTCCACTATCTCTCTTAATTCATCGTTATTCACCTGTGTGGGCGGTCTTCCTCGTGCCTCGTTCTTTAAGTCGAAATTTCCATCACGAAAGCGTTTAAACCAAAATTGCACGGTGCGTTCATTAGTAGACCCCTCTCCAAACGCAGCATTGATATTGCGGGCTGTTTCTGCCGCGTTAGTTCCGCGTCGGAACTCGTATTCAAAAATCACTCGAATTTTCGCAGTATCCATCTTTCTTGTCTAAATTGAATAACAAAAACAATTGAAAGTCGATATTCAAATGTTTCAAATTTAAAAAAAAAATCACAGAAACCATTTGAAAAAAGTTTCATTCGAAAACCTCAAACCATGAAGATTCTATGAAAATTCAAAGAACCTATTGCAATAAAACGGCAATTTCATACTTTAACCCCTAATATTAAATAATAACTAGCAATCGAAAAAGTCACTTACCCTCGTCCACACAGCAACCTTAGAGCCTCAATGTGTCCCTCAAATGCAGCCCATAGAGTGGGAGTCATGCCAGACTCATCCTTGTTGTTGCAATCCTTCCGCGTTGCTTCTCGTAGCACTTTTAGCAAGCCGTCTTTGGCTGCTCTGTAAATAATAGTAAATACTTTATAACAAAAGAAGAAAAACAACAGTTGAGAACGTTAAGGAAGATTAGACAATGGGCGTCTTTTTTGGTCTTTTAAGTTTTTTTGTTTTCACTTATAGATTATTGCGCAAGGCTTGTTTCATGCCGTTCACCATGCCTGCTTGCCATGCCTGGTGATTCAATGGTGAACCAATTGCGCGGATCGAGAGAGAAAGTCATCAGATGACTGGCAACCTGTCGCGCCCACGGTGCTCTCCATTTTAATTTGCCTACTACGTATGTGCTACTTCTTTAGTCCGGTTCCAGTCTAATTAGAAATGTCTATCTTCGTATTTAAAGTTCAATTTTATGTTCAATTTATGCTGCAATCGTCCCTAGGTCTTGCAATTTGTAATTCAGTAGATTAATTCATTCAGTAGATATAAGATAAAATTTACAACATTTTGGACATTTGATGTGAGAGCCGTGTTTCGAATACAGACTTATATAAGTCTCTGGTTTCGAATGAAATAAACCGTTTCAATTGACATTATGACAGAAATATGATGAATGCATTTATAGTTACTTTATATTTGTTTTTAGTTTTAAATTATTTGTTCTATCTTCTTCTAAGACAATTGTATTTTTTGAATTTTTTTCTTTTATAATAGCAAGTGACGAGACGCACAAGTCGTGCGCCTGATGGTAAGCTACACACATGTTCATGACAGTTGCAGTGCCACTCAGAGCTTTAAATTGCAAAATATCTGAAGGGCACTTCCACTGCACCCTGAGACATAAGTTGACATGTCCCATGCTCCTGTAATTTCACCACCACCCTTACCCTTCGAAACCGGAACGCAGTAATGCTAACATTACCTCTTGGCGGCTGAAGTAGGTAAGGTGGCAATATTTCCCTGGACGAACTCTTTCACAAGGAACTCTATCTATTGTTACTAAAATGTTTCATCATTTTAATTCAAAATTTTTTCATCTCAATAAAATGTTGTCCTAACCATATTGAAACACTAAATTTGAATTCAACCAAAGCACGAATAAACGATTAACGGGTGTAGCAACTAGTAACAACACAATGGGTGACGTGATTAGGAAAACTGTCATGGTAATTGCCTTGCGAAATCTGACGCTAAATACTAGAGGCTGAATCTGACATGTCATGAGCTAGATCTTGCAAATGATTACGGAAAGAATATTTGGAAATATAGTGTATAACCAGAAGTGTTACTAAGTGTCATAAGGTGTTTATTGTACTGCATAACTTAATACACTTGGGTGTTTCGAATGAAACACATTCATCAAAAGCCTAGGGATCAAGTTATTTTAAAAAAATATTTGATTACACTATTAAAATTAAATAAAAACATCTATAAAAATTTAGTAAATTATTATTTTTTGAACTATGTAACTGACCAAAAAACCATTGGTGTTGAAAGAAATTCAAATACTTGATTTTCAGTAATTGGCTATAACGTACTTGATCCCTAGACACTTTTGATGTGTGTACCTTTCACATCACTTAATAAAGACAAACTTTTTTTCATTATTTTGGTAAGTCAGCAGTTATCTATTACTGGACGATATTATGGTGGTCCTATGATAGTCAATGGCAAAAGTACTTGACTTCAGCACTTCGTAGATCAAATCGTAGATCAAGCGTTGTTTTTGCAACGTACAAGTTTACAGTCAGTGTCAAAATTTATGAACCAGTTTCTTGTCAATGCCAATATGATTGAATGTTAACCATACTCTAATTCAGTTTAGGTAATGGATATTTTAACCGGTTATTATAATTACCGCTTTTTTAAAATTTCACACACGCAGCGGCGAAAAATTAAACCGGTAATTTGAGTTATTCTCGCTACTCCCTTTGTCGTTATCATGTGGTGTTGCCAACGTACGTAAACGTAAAATCTATTGTTTTAAGTTTACGTACCCCTGCCGCTAAACAGGGACAGGGGCAGGCAAAGTGAAGTTTTTTAAAAATAAATAATAGACACCACTTGGCCACAATCCCACCTGATGTTAAACGACGATGTGATCTACGGTGATATATACGCAAATGCCTATTCACTCTAGGTTTGAATAGCCATAGCAAATTGTACTTTTCGGGAAACATGCGGGTAGAGTATTCCATTCCTTTGCCGTACGCATCAGGAAGGAGGAAGGAAAGTGCTTAGTGCGAATGAGTGGTATATAAACTACATAATGATGGTGTGTTCCGGACCTTTTAGTCGACCGAAGGGGGAACAGTGCGGGCGGAACTAAAGTTAAAAATTCCTGCGCACAATCCCCGAAATATATCCGATACAAAACCGACAAGCAGGCTAATTTTCTGCGATGGTCGAGATTTTGTAGCTTCGACTCCACAAGAGAATTGTTGTTAATAAGTTTCTATTAAAGTATAGTTCAAAGTGAAATACTTGGACCGTAACACATAATGACAAATGTGACAGACGTCACAGATCTTATTGACGTGAACTACTTAGTCGATTATCAAAAGTTATTCAGGGTGGTGGTTAACGGATGTACGGTGCCCCTATCAATTAAATAAATTGAACTGAATTAAAGTTCAATATATACCTCAAGCACTTTGAATTTACATTACAGAGTGAAAAAGGAAAAACTACAATAACGGGAGCGAGCGTCGCAGTTAAACCGGTTCATTTTGGTTCAATATCGATTAACGTCTGTTTACTACGTGGGGCGCACTATAAGTTTCCGGAATGAATAAGAAAAAATACTATAAGTGGTCAGAAATTAATTTATTGTTTCTCAAAATATTCTTCGTTAGTCCTCCGATCCGTTTTTTGAGCCTTAGTCAAATTGTGTGGGATCCACCGAGAGCACAGCTTTTTCACACCCAAATGTTTGTGTAGTATTGATTGTATTTGTCTCATGCCTATGCCTAAAGATGCCCGAATCTCATGGTATGTCACATGCCTGTCTGTTTTGATCATACGGCGCACAGCATCGAATTTTTTTCACAGCAGTGGACGGGCACCATCACGAAATTCGTCACTGAGTTGTGCAAACCAGCTATAAATAGTCGTCTTGCATGGTGCCTCATCGCCAAAAGCTGTTTGAAGCCGAGCGAAGCTCCGCTGAGCTGTTAAATTACACTTAAAGTCGTAGAAAATGATACTACGAAAATTTTCACGAGTTAAATCCATGGTGATGTAGACAACCAATTTCTAAAATGACGCCACAATGTAAAAACAAGTGACAGCCAGATGAGACAAACTGTATTCTACAGCGAAAGAGTTCCATTTTCAAATGTTGTAATTACTTTTTAAATATTGTTTATGTACGTGGCCAGTTCCGGAAACTTATCGTGCGCCCTATGTATGTTCGTTCTAATCCAACCCCTGATTGTGGTATAAATGCCACCTGACACAGTGGAAATTTTCACATTGCGATATGTTACCATAACTACAACATCGATCGATAACCAAATAACAAAAATCTCATGGATATAACCACAGACCACGTAAATACTAGATAACATTCATATACAGTAGCTTTAGGAACCAGGTGGTAATGAATTTAGGAGTCATTTAACCCTCTATGACCGAGTGCGGCCACCCGCGACGGCTGTGGTGCAATATGAGTGACAAATAATAATATTGTATATACATGGATATTATGTCTGATATTACTCATGTGACGACTACTTATGATAGTAGCTGTTTTTTTTATTTTGATAATCAAATAACGAATCCACTTGATACGAAAAAGGGCCTTAACGTACATATATGTTTACTGATAGGTATTTAATTTGTAACGATTGTTGTTGAGTTTGCGGTGATAACCCAGTGGGATCTTTAATTTCTACGTTACATTTATAAATGCTTTGTAGCAATAACATCAAAGTCACCAAAGTCGTCAAAAAAACACATTGGACCTGCTTGGACACAACAATGCAGTGGGACAAACAATGGTTGGTTAATGTATTTTTTTATACATTATGTATAAAGATAGGGTGAAGAAGAAAAAAGAAGGTACCAGAACACAGATCGCATATTCTCTTTTGTCATTTTCGTAGCAGCAGAGCTCCTTGGAAAAGAGTATGTCCAGGGTTGTAGGTACAGCGACCTAATTACCGCAATCTATATTGCCACCTTACCTATTTCTACCGCCAAGCAGTAATGTGAACGTTAATTACTGCATTGCGGTTTTGAAGAGTAAAGGTGCTGGCGAAATTACAGATGCATGGGACTTGTCAACTTATTTCTCAGGGAAATGGGCGCAGTGGCAGTGCCCGTCAGATATTTGCGTTTAAAGCTCTGAGTGGCACTGCAACTGCTATGGAAAGGCGTGACGCTTAACACGAGGTGCTCGAATTGTTCATCCCGTCACTTTTTGGGACATGAAACAGTTACCTAGCTGTATACAACACTATTAATATAGCGTATTTTATTGTTTCAATTCAGTTTGATGTCACGCTATGTATTAAAAGTTTAGTAAACAAACCGTGTTGACGTTCAATGTTCAAACGTAAACCAATTTTTTTTGTTGTTATTAAAACCGGAAAGCAATCACACGGTCTACTTGATAGAAATCGAAAGCAATAGTAAAGAAGTATCTTTAAAATCGAAAATACTTTGGACTTAATATTTACAATATTCTGTGCCTGTGATTGCGTTGAACCTTACCATTCAATACAGAACAGAGCAATGCTGGTTTATAGTAGAAATAGGTAGAGCAGTGCCATCAACCCATGCGAGTTTTGCACAGAGAGAAAATTATATAACACCATTATAAAATGTTTTTATTTTCACTTGGAGCATTTATCTCCTGCAAAATTTGGGGGTATTACAAGACCAATTTACAGTTGACGTATAGTAAAAGAAAGTGGAAAGACATCATTGAGTATTTATATCCTTGCGAATGATTGGGTAAACAAACATTGCCTGAATCATCAGACAATGTTTGTTTAAAACATTGTTTGTGGGAAAACTGAATTGAAACATATTTTAACGTTAAATATATTAAAATAAAAAGAAATATTTATCGCTGTGCTAGCTGTTCGTCATCATATGGGACGTTGAACTAATTTGACGGTTCGTCGACCGTGTCTCCTACCTGTAATTTCCGCCGAGGGGTGGCTGTGGAAATCGGATATACGTTCTTCCATGTGGTATTGTAAAAATGGCACATATAAATTGTAGCAATAATGGAAAAGCGAGAACACATTAAGAAATCACACGTTGTCCGTATGGGCGATTCAATACCAGTATATGTACGAGTGCTTTCTCGCTCCAAAAAGAAAAGAAAATAGCCACAGGGAAAAGGAATCATACTTATGAAATTTAAGGGAGTCAAAAAAGTGCACTGGAAGTCTCCCTCTCAGCACTTGTACCCAAGATAATTGAAAAGGTCATGGTAACGTAGTAGAGTTTGTTCTGGAGAACAGAACATTAATTACAGTTATTAGGTATTAGGTAATATCTCACATGTTGTAACCAAATACTGCCTATTACGGTTTGAGTTTTCTATTTGATCAACCCTAACAAAGATTTTGTATGACTTTTATAGGTACTCTGTCTTCATGTTAGGTATATCTCCTCCTGGCGTCGTATTCATTATTAAGGGTCGTGACTCTCTCGCAGAAACGCCTGCCCTGAGCCCTACAGACTTGGTCTTTGGTCGGACCATCTTGTGGTTGAGCGACGCCTCTGACGTTTACCGTCGATCCGTCCTGTAACTATATTAACTGTTCCAGGTTGTACCCTTAAGCCTGGTATGGGCGTCAAACTCTCGCAGAATTGATTCATTAGATATATACGTATGTTATTTGCTAGACAATTAATTACCGGTTGTAGGTATAACTCTACGCACTGTACCTATAGTATATTTAGACCTCCATTACATACCAAGTGAAATAGATTATTGGGACATTCATTTACTTTGCTAACCGGTTAAATGTTGCGCCCAAAGTCATCTCAATTTTAATTTATGCAACATTGGTAGGTATAATGTGAAACGGCATTGTTTTTTTTTTATATAACTAGTATAATTAACACTTGCTGTGTGGAATCGGGTTGTTGAACACATATAGTTCTGATTTACTTAACTATAAAATAATGATAAGTAATTACACAAATCGTCAGTTCACATGTTGCGTAGGTAAAATTGTAATAGCCAATAACATACCGAACATAGATACCAACTTAGATTAGGTACCTAGTAACTAGATACTAGCTCATTCATAAGGGTTCTGTTTATAGGAAGTTGAAGTTGAATCCCTACGAACCAACCTAGCTTTAATTTAGACATTGTAAGACCTTATTGCAATTACCTAACAATTATTTATCTCTACGGACAGAAAACATAATGAATAAGGAACTAAATCTTTTGCACGTTTGATAGCTACAATGACAAGTACTCATATCATATAATTATTGTATCTTATCTGAAATTGGAATACAGATAAATCGATTGGACATTACTTACTTGTGAAACCGGTTCGTGGTCATTTTGAAGTCCAATTTTTGCACAAATTATAGCAATTGTGTCCCAATGTACCGTTTACTGCTGTTTCAACTCATTTTAACCAGATTTGTGCGCTTGACACCGCGAAATTGATAAGACGAGAAAGTTTTTGTTTGTATTCACTTCTGTTAGGTATATTACTTCAACGAATTAAATATCCCTGTTTCCTATTGACAAAATAGAACTATTTCACTAAACGAACTAATAATTAAGAAAACGTTGAGTTTGATATATAAAACACCTTTTTATGTAAAGTTTACTAAAATTAAAATAAACTACGTGGACCACCTGCGCTAGCTAGTGTCCGTCTGTGGGAGGGAAAAAAGGAAGTTGTAAACTTTACACACACACCAGAGATAATCAAGGGCCAATGACCCAGCTTGTAGCGACATCTATCAGATTCAAGCTGAACTTTTTAAAACATTGTAGCTTGTAGTGACATCTTACAAAACATTTTGGACTTCGTTTTATTGCCATCTAGTGTGGAGTAGTATTAAACTTTCATTTCATTGTACTACTGCATAATAGATGACGCCCTCGATATCGTTCATGTTTTTAAAGTAAAATTAGGAAAATATTTTGGTATCTAATTTATACTTGATGTACCGTCGTAAATAATTCAGTTGAAATAAACCGTCATAATTTGTACGTTGTCTCAGTTCTGCAATGGTATGGCGATAAATTGGCACTTCGTATATGGATAGTGCATTCCAAAAGTCAATAAAGTCACCATTCGCTAGCTAGCAACTGCCTGAGATCAATTTAATGAGACCAAAAATGATAGTTCTGCTGCAAGTAGGTGAGAAATTAGGTAGTCTGCAGACTGCCCTGAATGCAGATTCAGATTAAAGTTACCATATTATTATTGTAATTAATGACTGAGATCCCTAAACCAACTTAGATATGTGCCGTTAATCTTGAAACAAATGACCATCAAACATAGCGAAGAACTTTGATTAGCCTTCAATTAAAAAAAAACGATTTGGGATCAAACCATCCGTTTCAGAATCACAGACAGACACTATATATGTGTATGTTTCTCACTGTGGAGTTCTTAGGTTCATACACTATATATGTGTATGTTTCTCACTGTGATTGTACATAATCAAAGGCTTTAAATTTATACCTCCCCTCATTCTACGTCGGGAAACAGAAACAGGAAAAGTTTTAATTGAGTTAATATATTACTTACATGACATGGTTTTACAACATACATTTTTAACGTTTAATGACTAGTTCAATAATTAAAAGCACTAACTAAAATTTTATCTGAAATATTGTTTCGGTCCAAATGTTAGAAAAAATTATATTTCCAATTTTTTAAAACTATTATACTTATTTTTAATTTCATTCAATTCCTGTAGGTACGGACTTCAATATGTCGATTTGATGATTTTTTTTTTATAATTTCAAGTGACAGGACGAATAAGTCGTGCGCTTGATGGTAAGTTACATGTATGTCCATCGTTGCAGTGCCCCTCAGAGCTTTAAATCGCAAAGATCTGAGGGGCACTGTCACTGCGCCCGTCACCCTGCGACATAAGTTGACAAGACCCATGTGCCTGTAATTTCACCAGCACCCTTACCCTTCAAAACCGCAACACAGTAATGGTGACATTACTCCTTGGCGGCAGAAACAGGTAAGGTGGCAGTACCTCCCTGGACGAACTCTTTCACAAGGAGTTCTACTGCTGCTAATGGTGGTCTATAATATAATAATAATAATAATATAATAATAACACACACACTCAACATAGCCCCGCACTGGGGAAACCCTGTGTTGCGGGTGCCATGGACATACACATAGACAACCACAAATTACACCCAAAACTTACGAGAGAAATAAATGTAGGCTTAAGAAATATTTCTCCCGGCCCGGGAATCGAACCTGGGACCTCTGCGTGGCAGTCTGGCATGGTAACCGTTCGGCCACGGAGGCAGTTAAAAAAGTCTACTGCTACTGAAGGTCACTTAAGAAGAGCGTGATGTAGGCAGGTCTGGGTAGGTCTTGACTTCATAAACGCCGTCGAAAGCAATTGTTTCAGTGCTATATTTCAAGTTGCAAATGCCTACGATCCCTTTATAAACATAAATTACAAAGGATCCTAAGAACAGTTCCGCGGATTTCCAGCAAACATGACAAGGAACTATCTTTAAGAACACAAGTTCAAAAAAAAAATTTATTACGGCTCATACAATCGAAACCTATCAAGCATCCATCAAGCCACAGAATCACATAACATACACATAAACACATTTTTTTTCGTCAGGCTCAATCTACAAATTTTACTTATAAAACTTACACAATAAATTCTTGCATTGAATTAAAAAAAAAGTCAAAGGAACATACGGCTTATAAGCCGTAAATAAGGCTTGTAAGCGGTAATTTCTTATCTTTCGCCATAGTAGTTCTTTGATTAATTAGCAAGAAAATACTTGAGATGTCTTCACCATCATCTACTTATCTACTAAGTCATATAAAAAAAGTAAATAACTTCTATCATATTTGATTTTCACAAAATCAGTCCTGCTTTCTTAAATATTTTGTTTATAAAACTATGAGGTATCTAGAACACTTTTCAATAACAATTTAAGCAAACTTGGTCATTTGGCGAAATCTTAACAAGAGCATTGCAAATAATTGCCAAAAAACAAAAAAAAAGACTTGGGCATTGACTTTTTTTGTCAAAACTACCTAGTTTATTACTTAGGTATATTTCTGACTTATAAGTACACCTTTACACTTTTATATACCGAATTACATCATTACATTAGAGATGTATCAAATTGAGTTTTTGACACAGTGACAGGCATTAGGTACTGCGTTCCAGTTTTGAAGAGTAAGGATGCTGGTGAAATCACAGGCAAATGGCTCTTGTCAATTTATATCTCAGGGTGACAGGCGTAATGGCCGTGTCCCTCAGATCTTTGCGATTTGAAGCTCTGAGAGACACTGCAACTGCTATGAACAGGCGTGTCGTATACTACCAGGCTACCAGGCGCATGACTTGTTTGTCCAGTCACCACGTGATTGAAAAAATCATATAAAAAAAATTAAAGCTGCATCAAGTAATAATTCCTTTCGAATAGTTGACGACTATCGTGGGAAAATAAAAGAACAGTTACGGTAAACAGCTGTTTACTTTGTGTCTTAGACAAAACTTAAAAAACAAAGTCATCGAAGTAGAATGATCCCGCAACACGATAATACTCCTGCCCGCTCCATTTATAGAACATTTTTGATTATCGTAAATTTTGAACTCATTAATTCACTCAGGAACTCACCATTCCTGAACGTCTGGCGCAGTCTTGACAAATTGACAAATCATTTCACCCAATGGCAAACATTATAATGTATGTCATTGATGCGATAAGAAGAACATTTTTGTATATTCCTAAAATGAAGAATTAACTCGTAGGGGCCTTCCAAACAGCTTCGTAGACGAAATGCTTATAAATGGTAGTCTTATCTTTCACAGGAAATACTCCGTAAAAGGGTTGTAGATGATGCAGGTTTTTTACACATCAGCTAATGCGGGTGCTGAAACTATGACCTTGACATCAGCGGATGCTGGTTTTGTGTATTAAAAAAAACGTCAAAAATATACGTCCTTACTGAATCTGTAAAACTTACTGTTTTTTTTAAATGATATCAAGTGACGGGACGAACAAGTCGTGCGCCTGATAGTAAGCTACACGCCTGTCCATAACAGTTACAGTGCCACTCAGAGCTGTAAATCGCAAAGATCTGAGGGGCACTGCCACTGTGCCCGTCACCCTGAGATATAATTAAGTTGACAAGTCCCATGTGCCTGTAATTTCACCAGCACACTTACCCTTCAAAACCGGAACACAGTGACGCTGGCATACTGCTATGTTCTTTGGTATTGTAATAAAATATGTTTCAATGTTTTAATGCCATTTAATAATAAAAGAACCAATCTGCATAAAAACAATCATTCTATCCTATCTTAATCGTAGCGGAATTTTATGTTAGTTATATTCTAAAAGCATCAGCTTAGCTGCTTTTTTGGCTTGCATTCTGTTTCTGGAAGGTTTGTAAATTATTTCAGCGTAACTTTTAAGCACGACTCAAGCAATGAATATCAGCATCAATCAACGCGGAGGCTGACGTAGATGCGGATATTTTAATTTATGTAGATTATGCGGATGCTGATATTCGCAACAACCCTGCTTTATAATGCAATAAAATTATTTACATCATTACACTTCATTTCGTTTATCCGATTCTTAGTACTTGTCAGTGTCACTCACGTGTATTTTCACATTTCGTAATACATTATCTACAAATATATCTGAATTTCCATTAAATTACTCATTAGATATTAAGCACTTAACCAAATAACTTGCAATAGAGATTTTGTGTTGAATTGTATCTATGCAAATATTTACCATCCATTAACGACTTATCAGGTAATGTGGTTTGCATGTATCAATCACTGCAGTAATCTATTGCAAAACAATATCCTCCAATGACCGATAGATTGACCTTTAATCTATACATGTTAAGCGAGAACTAGGACAATTTTAAGTATATATTTAGGCCGGTATTTATTTACAAAAAAAAAAGCGGTGGTAACCTAGTTGGGGGAATGTATTAGCATAATCCAAGCGCCAATATTTCTTTTTTTTCGATATCACACCTCGCTAAATGAAAACTTTTCAGGAGAGATTTTTAAAAGGTTCTACGAACGAAATTTGTCGAGAACTTTTACGCTTAAGAGGCTATACTACCTCAGCTCGAATTCATAGTTTTCCCGTATTGAATCGGTTCTATTGCGCGGATCGAGCGGTTGGGACACTGGTCTTTTTTAGAATTTAATTTTTTACAGACGAAATTAAAGCCATTTGAAAAACGTACAGACAGCAGCACTGCCGTCCGTTCACGCGGCTAAATTACAAAATATTTTTTTAGATATCATAAAAAAACCATACCCCAGTTTTAGAATATTGAAATTGTTTAATGATATTTCAGCTTTGCATCGTTAAGGTAAGTTCCGATAAGTCGAACATGTTAACTAATTTTAACTGTTTTTAAAAGAGAATCATGTGCTCTATCTTATGCTATTTAAAACGGATATTTGACCATTTTTCACTTAGCCGCGTTTTAGTTAGTGGACGGCAGAGCACATCAAGGTACACATTAATGGATCTTGTTCCGTTGCACTGGAGACGATATTCCAACAGCAATGTATAGTTTCAATTGCTGTTAACTATACATGGTATACTAAACGTATTCTATTTAGTTCAGTTGATAGTAAAAAAATCATTGGTATGTGTAAAATACATAT